CAGCCTACAGCTTTGAAATGACTGACCGCCTTGACCACAACAACCTTGACATCAGCGAGGATGATGTTTTGACAAAAATATGCGAAACTATTTCAGACGGTTACAAAGATCCAATGCATGAAGGCCAAGATCAAGTGTTAGTGGCTTTTGATAAAGATGCACATAAATTTCCTATTCTTCCTGATAATGTCCTAACTCAGTATCTTGATGAAACATCCAGGAGAAAAGTGTATTCAAACTGGCTCATCTTCAGACAAAATGGCAACCACCTCACTATCACCCACTTTGGTGCTTTTGGGAGCGAGAAAGATCAAGATTTTATAGATACACAGGAAGAGACAATGCGGGCTCTTGCCATTTATAAACAACTGTTGGAAGATCTGAAGTCCCCAATCAACAAAATGTCTGAGGAAGACCAAGCACTTATGGAAGAGCACATATTGGCAGAAGTAAAAGCCAATTATTTTGGAATTGTGCAGAATAATGAGTCACAGATTCAAACTTACAAGAAGGAATTGGAACAGCTGATTTATGAAGTCTATGATGAAGAAGAGGATAAAACAGTTGCTCGAAACCTGATAGCAAAGTTATCAGCTTCAACAGGAAAAGTACTGATTAAAACCATGGCAAAAGTCATCACAGAAGAATTAGCAGAAAAAGCAGCTAAAAAAGTAGCTGCGAAGCTGGCAGCAAAGGCAGCAGCAAAAATTGCGGCAATGTCTGGATTGAAGGGCGGGGCAGCCAAGGGGAGCAGCAAGGTTGCAGCAAAGGCGGTGCCCTTTGTGGGAGCAGCTATCGGTGTTGGATTTGGACTCTGGAGGCTTTCTCAAGGAGACGTGTTAGGAGCAGGCCTGGAAATTGCTTCTGGGGCAGCATCGTGTGTACCAGGGGCAGGTACTGCTGTGTCTTTAGCTATTGATGGCACACTTGTAGGGAAGGACATGAAGGAAGCATTGGAAGCAGAAACTAAACGGGAACGAAATGTTCAGGTAAAGTTGCATTTGTCTGAAAAACAAAAATATTAATTTATTATTATCATTATTATTATTGCCCACTTTGAATACACTCTTACAGTAGGTCTATCAAAGTTTGTTTTTCAGATACAAACTGTATGCCTTTCAGTTAAGAAGCTTATCTGTGCTCAGGCATTCTTTTTTTGGGGAGGGGGCAGGGGAAAGAGTAGCAGGCAAAGGGAAACAAAAGGAACACCTGATACATTTACTTTTACCTTTTGCCTTCCAAAGAAAATGGTAATGTGCAGGACATTTCTCTTCGTAAGAGATCCATGGCTTGTCACATATATATTCCTCCACAACGAACGTTCGTGGAAAAGGAACGCGTGACGAAATCCTAATGGCTAATGGAAAGGTCATTTTTAAAAAAAAATCTAACCGAAACAGGATTTCGTCCCGGCTGGTCAAACCAAACAGAATATTCACATATAAGCGTGGGTTTTTTAACGGACCAATCACAGCTATTATGCCTTTTAAGTAAACACAGAATCGGAGCCCATGACCCGGAGCAGGTAACTCCCATGCTATTCCTATGTCGTGACATTTTCATTTTAGACACATTTTAGACCACCTTTTCCCGCGAAAATGGAATCTCCGCTCCGTCTATTAGGGCACTCGAAGTATAAGATATCAAAAAGGACAACTAAGAAATCTTTTCTAAATTTGCCCCAAAATTGTTCTAAAACCAAACTGGTCGGTGAAAACGTCGTTACACGAGTGCATGGAAGTTGCTCGCTCCGGGTTTATAAATACTTCTGTGACTTCTGTGTTGTGCTGTCTGTAGATTCCAAAATATATAAAATGTCAGCAAGTCCACAGCAACAAAGACCTGGATCAGTACAATAGTTTAACTTGTAGAAAAGTATGAAACGGCAAACTGATCTTTACGGCAAGGCGATGAAGAAGTAAACAAAAGAATAAAACAAAAATATATATATTTTAACAAATTCGATAATTTGTTGAAATATTTATATTTTTTCGATTTATTCTTTTGTTTACTTAGTTTGCCGTTTCATATTTTTGCTTTCTGTGGGTGTGGGAGATCTGGGTACGAGATAAGCGGTTGCATGCGTCGCTGGAGTTAGGAACGCTACTTCCTCATTTCTTCCTCATTTGCCTCGTCACGTCAGGCCACTCCGGCCCCGTTCTGTAGCTTTTCATGTTCGACATTTTCTGCATGTAGATAAAGAATTTCTCCCTGCGCAGAAAATTTTCTTGAGATCCATCGAGAATTACTGACGGTAACGTTTGGAACTTTAAGAAGCGGGTCTGGAACTTAGCCAACTTTTGCAGCTTTGGCAAGATCAAGGCTTCTGTGCCACGTTTCGTTTCGTTCTTAATTGTTTGATTTCACTTTGGATTAAATCATTTAAGGTGAGCGTGAGCTAACTTATAAACAATTCTAGCCATACTGAATTCAAAATTTTGACAAAGATCAAAACACTGCTTTATAGCTTGTCGACATGGCAATTTAACATTCATCTTTATTGACGCAGTGTTGGTGCGTATTTCTCGTTTTAGAGATCAATGAATCGAAAACATACTGTAGCGATAGATCACCTACGACTGTAGCCTTTTAGCGGATGCCAGGCTAGGTTGACCATTTTTTTAATACAAATCCTTCTGATTTTCTCATGTATGCAAAAAAATTGTCACAATTCCTTTGATCGTCAATTGTTGTTGCATGGAAGCTTAACCTTCCAAAATTCCGCTTTCACTGTCTATCCATCACTCAATGAAAATCGCGAGAGTTATGACACTGAAAGCCGTGATTTAACTTGAATTTATCGACCAACTGAAGGCGGAGAAATGAAGGCTGGGAGTCCTCAGTGTATGTAACACGAGTCCACGCAGTATACTGTTTTGAGCCTGGCTGTATAGGAAAGTAAATAGCTACAAAAGCAAACTTTTGGTTGAACTCAAAGCGCTCAATATTTCTGCGGTTGAGACCCCTTGAGGAGAGCACTTGTTTGGCCTAAACTGAATACAGTCAAATCCCGTTTACACAGACACTAAGAGGGCATGCCTCATAGAAAGTGTACGTATTTAAGGAAAAATGTTAGGGCTTTCTTACCCCATGAACAAAGTTAACTGTCCATAAGGGGCCGACCATTTAACTCTTGAGGGGTGGGTGGGTGGGTGATTTCTGGTCATCAAGAATTTTTTTTTCTAGCAATCTGGTGGGCAGGATATTTTTTTCCCTTTTTTTCCCATAAGCTTTCTATTACATTTGTGCTGCATGCAATTTTTTTCTTCCGACAAGCGCTTGCAGGAAATTTTTTTTCAGAATCAAACACCCCCTCCCCCCCCCCTTCAAGAGTTAAATGGTCGGCCCCTAATATAATGAGGTGTCCGTATTCAGCGGGAGTCCATAAAGCAGGGTTTGACTGTGTGTGAGGCTGAATATAGTATGATTTATCAAGGGTTTTGAGTCTTGAACAGGATGTAAAATTCCACTATTTAACGTCTTGAACAAGGTGACTTTCTTGACTGGATGAATTGAATTTAAGAATGTGTCTGAAGGCTGGCAACTCATGGAAACAATTTCTTTAATACATGTTATTTTGTTACTGATGAGGAAATGTTGGTTTTCTTTCAGTCTTGCTTTGAGATGTCGCCTAGACGTAAGATTATCCGAAACAGCTTTCTTCATTTGGATGGCGCAGCCTACAGCTTTGAAATGACTGACCGCCTTGACCACAACAACCTTGACTTCAGCGAGGATGATGTTTTGACAAAAATATGCGAAACTATTTCAGATGGTTACAAAGATCCAATGCATGAAGGCCAAGATCAAGTGTTAGTGGCTTTTGATAAAGATGCACATAAATTTCCTATTCTTCCTGATAATGTCCTAACTCAGTATCTTGATGAAACATCCAGGAGAAAAGTGTATTCAAACTGGCTCATCTTCAGACAAAATGGCAACCACCTCACTATCACCCACTTTGGTGCTTTTGGGAGCGAGAAAGATCAAGATTTTATAGATACACAGGAAGAGACAATGCGGGCTCTTGCCATTTATAAGCAACTGTTGGAAGATCTGAAGTCCCCAATCAACAAAATGTCTGAGGAAGACCAAGCACTTATGGAAGAGCACATATTGGCAGAAGCAAAAGCCCATTATTTTGGAATTGTGCAGAATAATGAGTCACAGATTCAAACTTGCAAGAAGGAATTGGAACAGCTGATTTATGAAGTCTATGATGAAGAAGAGGATAAAACAGTTGCTCGAAACCTGATAGCAAAGTTATCAGCTTCAACAGGAAAAGTACTGATTAAAACCATGGCAAAAGTCATCACAGAAGAATTAGCAGAAAAAGCAGCTAAAAAAGTAGCTGCGAAGCTGGCAGCAAAGGCAGCAGCAAAAATTGCGGCAATGTCTGGATTGAAGGGCGGGGCAGCCAAGGGGAGCAGCAAGGTTGCAGCAAAGGCGGTGCCCTTTGTGGGAGCAGCTATCGGTGTTGGATTTGGACTCTGGAGGCTTTCTCAAGGAGACGTGTTAGGAGCAGGCCTGGAAATTGCTTCTGGGGCAGCATCGTGTGTACCAGGGGCAGGTACTGCTGTGTCTTTAGCTATTGATGGCACACTTGTAGGGAAGGACATGAAGGAAGCATTGGAAGCAGAAACTAAACGGGAACGAAATGTTCAGGTAAAGTTGCATTTGTCTGAAAAACAAAAATATTAATTTATTATTATCATTATTATTATTGCCTACTTTGAATACACTCTTACAGTAGGTCTATCAAAGTTTGTTTTTCAGATACAAACTGTATGCCTTTCAGTTAAGAAGCTTATCTGTGCTCAGGCATTCTTTTTTTGGGGAGGGGGCAGGGGAAAGAGTAGCAGGCAAAGGGAAACAAAAGGAACACCTGATACATTTACTTTTACCTTTTGCCTTCCAAAGGAAGAGGGGAGGGGGACTGCAGCCTGATCACAGGTTATTAAGAAGGGGTCACAAATGCACAAAACGACCCCCCCCCCCAC